GCCTCCCGTATGAGTTTCCCGAGATTTTAACAGCTGGATTCGCTCTGACAACTTATTCCTGCATTCTTTGCGGCCCGCAAGCCATCGCTCCTGGGTTAGCGAGTTTTGTGAGATGTGGAACGCCACTGAGAAGGATTCGTCGACATACCGATCTGCTCGCTCCACTGCGAAGTCCAGGGGGCGCAAACTCAAGTGAGCAGCGCTGGCGTGATCTTGCACCTTGCATGAAAACAGAAATCGTGGCGGCCACGCGCTTTGAGAAGCGCGCTCACGAGTTATGATATGGCAGCCGAAGGGGGGATTGGCAGGGGGGCGGAGGAGGCGGAGGAGAAGGAGGAGGAAAAGGAAGAGGAGGAGGAGGATAAGGCAGAGGAACGGGAGGGGGAAGAAGAGGAAGAAAAGGAAGGAGGGAGCGCCCTGGGGTCTCTGAGCGGCCCACGGCCCTCCCTCGCAGCAGAGCGGAAGAGGAGAAAACAGGAAAAACCGGAAACAACAAGAAACACCTTGTGTTTTCACATGGAAAAACAGGAAAAAGCAACGACACCTGTGACTGTCGCTCTTTTTCAAGGTTGTCCTGTTTTTCCTTGTGAAAACACCGGATTTTTTATGTTCTTGTTTTTCTTGTTTTCCTCTCTCCTCCCCTCAGCGCCCCGGGGTCTCTGAGCGGCCCGCGGCCCTCCCTCGCAGCAGAGCGGAAGAGGAGAAAACATGAAAAAAAACATACAACATACAAGAAAAACCATGTGTTTTCACATGGAAAAACAGGAAAAAGGCAGCGAAGCCTGTGACCGTCGCTCTTTTTCAAGTTTTTCATGTTTTTCCATGTGAAAAACACAGGGTTGTTCTTGTTTGTCCTGTTGTTCCTGTTTTCCTCTTCCGTCCCGCTAGCTTCCTGAAGCGTCCGAGCAGCCTACGGAGCCTCCGCCCAGAATACGACCGCATCGTGCCCTAAGGCCACAGGTGATTGCCATCCAATTAGGACGGGGTGTTTCGTCAAATCATATTACAAAGAGCGGACTACTGATTCAGATGATTCGTTCGTTGTTTGTGAGAGAGGAGGGCCCCACAGCGTTCCTTTCCCGGAGGAGGAGGAGGAGGAGGAGGAACAGCAGCAGCAGCAGCAGCAGCAGCAGCAGGAAGAGGAGGAGGCGGAGGAGGAGGAGGAGGAGGAGGCGGAGGCGGCGGAGGAGGAGGAAGAGGAAGAGGAGGAGGAGGCGGAGGAGGAGGAGGAAGAGGCGGATAGGTTCTTCAGGGGGGACGTTACGACCCCAATCGCCCAACCATCGCCGACAGGGGCCCGATAGCCGCACCCCGCCCAGGACCGTGCGGGTTCGCTATCGTTACGTCGGGCGTGCCCCTCTTCAGTATGAATGTTCAGAAATAGTCAAAAAATACTCGATGTTTCGATTCTTTTGTCTATTTGTTGATTCTTTTTCGTGGGAGGAGGACGAGGAGGACGAGGAGGAGGAGGAAGACGAGGAGGACGAGGAGGACGAGAAGGAGGAGGAGGAGGAGGAGGAGGAGGAGGAGGGGAGGAGGAGGAAGAGGAGGAGCAGCAGGAAGGAGCAGGAGCAGGAGCAGGAGGAGGAGGAGGAGGAGGAGGAGGAGGAGGAGGAGGAGGAGAGGGAGGAGGAGGAGGAGAGGAGAGGAGGAGGAGGAGGAGGAGGAGGAGGAGGAGCAGGAGGAGCAGGAGGAGGAGCACGAGGAGGAGGAGGAGGAGCAGGAGGAGGAGAAGCACCCCGCCCAGGACCCTGCGGGTTCGCCATCGGGTTCCCGTCGCCGATCTGTCGGCGCCCCCAAATCGGGGGCCCCCAAACGGGGCGGCGGCTCAAGCGTCGCGGCTCAAGGCGTCGCCCAAGAAGGCTCGCAGAATACTGCCTGGGAAACCTCCTCTTCTGCGAACCTTGTGCGCCTGCTTTCCAATTTTGCTCCACACCTATCACTATTGTGTACGGTATCCTTTTTGTATTGTTGTTCTTTCTTCACTATTGTCGTATCAAAGGGAGCTTGATCGAGGGAGAAGCGATTCATTGAGGAAGTGAATATTACGGGACGAATATCTTCTGTATTGTTTGCCCTTTCTTCACAATTGTCGTATCAGGTCGAGCTTGATCGTGAGGGAACGATTCATTGAGGAAGTCTAAGAATATTACTGGACGAATATATTCTTGTATTGTTGTTCGGTCTTTCTTTCTTCACAATCACGTCGTATCTAGGTGAGCCCGATCAAGGGTGGCATCGATTCAGTGAGGAAATTGACGAATATTACTGGCGGGTGTGTATACGTGAGGCACGTAAGAACTGGCGAAAAGACGACGCAATACCCAAAGAGTGTTGAAATGGCGACGGTCATTGATCCTCAAATGTCGGCCGCAGCGAGTTCTGGACATGTATCAGCGGAGGATTTTGAACGGAATGTAAAGCATCGAGTTGATGAGTTAACGAGAGCAAGGGAGGAGTTGATTTCGAAAGAGACGAACCCATCTCTTGTTGCACTACTTCGATTGGGTTTCACGAATGAGGATAGAACTGTATCCCTTGTCAAGCAGTGTGGGGCTACGGATAAGAAGCTCGCTCAGATTGATGAAAAAGTCCAGACGCAAGATGAACGTATACAAAAATTGGAACATATGATGATGTATACGCCACAGCCCCCTCCTGGTCTTGGGGGTCCTGGTAATGCCTCGGATGTCTCTCAGGTGTCAGAGCGTAGTTTTTCGGGAGATTCTGAGAACATGAAAATGGCGAGGAGAATGTGGAAGCCTGAGTTCTTAGAAATCAAGGGCTGGGTGAAAAGTTGGAGCAATCCCAAGAGACGCAGTGAGGAAATGTTGGGCCAGAAAGATCTTCAGACACTGGTATCAAATATGGTTGATGCCCTACCAGAGGATACGAAGACGTGCGTGGACAAAGATCGTACTATTAGGCTCAATGCTGGACGAACGTTGTATGGTCAGGGGAGGGTGGGAGTTCGAACAGGCACAACTGGTGAGATTCTACGGTTATGGAAGAAGCACTTGGATGAGCTGCTCACCTCCCCAGATGCTGACAAAATACTTGCTGGGATGGACCAGCAAATCGTACCAAGCAACATCAAGATTTTGGTTGACGCTCCCCCGTGGAAACGCCCACACATCAAGCAGGTCAGCCGATTTCAGGGTATCTTCAAGACGCTTGCCCATCCTAGCTTTGTTCCTCTGCGTGGTGAAATGGCCCCCCCACGTTCCTCGATCTATGTGCATTCGGTAGATTCTAAACCATTTCTTCTGGCGGAATGGAAGGGCGAGTCTTGGGAGATCTTCGAAGAACAATGGGCGACAATGTGCGATAAATATGATATCAAAGATGTGACGATCATGAAAATGAAAGAGGAGTTAAGTAAAAACGGAGGACGTGCTCGACGGAAAAATCTGACTCTCATTTCTTGGAATATCCAGAAGGCAGGAGTGAGGAATTGTAGAGGAGCTGAGATTTTGGGACAACTTCGTAGTTGTCATGGAGGCTTGTTCGCGTTGCAAGAGAGTGATTTTCTTCCCAAAGCAGAGATTGAACGTCTAGGATGGGACCAGAGAGTTTCATCATGTGGGAAAGCTGCCCTAGTATTCGACAATGCATGGAAGTGCTGTATCAAAGAATTCGCATGCTCGTATCCTCGTTTCGTCGCAGGAGGCTTCATGACTGCTACTTCGAGGCTGGTGATCACTAGCATGTGCCTTCCAGATGTTTCGATCCCGAATGCTTTTGATATGTGGCAGCAAACCCTGACCAACCTCAATATGGTCCTCAGGGAGATGGTTGCCACGAAGCTGCCAGGTGCCTGTATCACTGTCTGCGTGGATGCCAATGTGGAATTGGTGGGGAGGAGTACGGGAGTTCATCGAGGAGTAGAATATCTCATGACAGGAAGTGGTGTGGATGGAAAGGAGGAAGGAGGCGACAGCACGGCGGAGAGGAGGAGGGAGAACGACAGATGGAGGATGAGGCATGCGCTGGAATGCTTTATGCAATCGCATGGGCTCTGTGCTGCCAACACTTTCGGCGACCGTGCAGCGACGTGGGAGAGCTACGCACGAGCACACAGTCGCCTTGCTAGAGCACCAGAGTTGCGGCCACGAGTATTAGATTACGTTATTATGGTTCCTCATGGCTGGGAGGTTATTGATTGTAAGGCATCCTTTCGTTTGCACAGAGGAGGGAAGACTCAGCGATCCCGTCTGGGTGATCATAAACTCCTGGAAGTTGCGTTCGTTCCCCCGTTGTTCATTGTCCTCGTTACTCCGCTAAACCCCGTGATAAAAGCTATGTGGGATATGAGCCAAACACGTTCACGGATGAGATGATCGCGAGAGCTTCGATGGACTCGTTTGTTGACAATGCCAGGTGTTCCTCAGTAAGTGGCAATCCTCTGGGGGCCAGCTGTTTGTCGCGACAGATTAAATCGAGCTTTACTCGGGATGAGGTGGAATATAAGACAAGGGATGACAATGGTATTAAACAGCCTGTACGCCCTTATAGACTCCAAAAGTTGATTGAACTCCGTAGGGGGGCCCCACCTGGGCCAGAAAGGAAACAGATCACACAAGTTTTGAATGGCTATCGCCGTCTGTGCCGCCGTCTTCGTTTGGAGTATGAATTACCACCGTCAAGGAAAAGGAGGAGAAACCGTCTCTATAACTTGGAAGGGGTGGAGGATAGAGAGGTATGGGGCAAAGTTATCTGGCAGATGCTCATGAATAAGGTATCGTGTGCCCAGACTCGCGCTGCCAATCTAGAGGCGCTGCAGTCTCTCAGACAGGCTGCGGAGCTGGAGGCCCCACCGCGCACCATCGCGCTGGCGAATATGCTTTGCTGCAGGGGAAGAATGCAGCGTAACCGCGCGACGGGGACTGATGGAGTGCCTGCAGAGATGCTCCTTCGATTGTCGTGGAAAACGTTGAGAGAGGTGCGAAGGATATTCGAGGCTGTGTTTCATAGACAGATTCCGTATCCTGATTGTTGGA